TTTATAGGATCCTATACAAATTATAGGAAATATAGGATATATAGGAGGTCTGGGATGCCTGCTGATCGGTCAAGTCTGATTCCTCAGGTCATTTGTTTAATAGTTTTTGACGGTTATATAAGATAAACGTCTCCAATTCATTTTAGGCTAAGGCAAGTAATCATACTGTTTTACATTTTTGTAAAAATGATGAAGTCTAGAATGTATTTTAAATGAAGAAATGGTGAGCAAACACACTTGTGATGAAGCTTGTTGTTTTCACAAAAAACAAAATTACACCGTCTGTCGATACATTATCTGATATGAGGTATACTGGTTCCGTCTTTGGCAAGTTTAGAAATGATAAAGCTGTGTAAGAACTCCCAAACAAACATTTTACACAGATTTRCCTATAGAGGTGAAGTCATCTGAGGCAAAAGTTAGTAAAAATGGACTTGATATGGCTAGTGATGAGGTGTTTGGTTGCAATTGTCGCTATTTATGTATAAACCACTGTCTTACCTGTAGCGTTGCTTTCTGCCTCTGAAATTTCTTTGCCAGTCTGGCAAAGTCTGGAAAGTTCTTCAGCTCTTCCTAATGTAGCAAAGTAAATTTTGTATGTTAATTCATTACATCAAATTATATTATTAAACCTTATGCACATATACTTTTTCTGTTCTTGATTATGAAACATTTGTAATTTCCTGAAAAAAGCTCTGACTTCAATCAAGTAATTGTTCGATCAAGCTAATTGTGCCCTTCATTAACGCAGAGGTGTGCTGACCTTCAATCAAAACCTAGCATTAAAACACAACACCAACAAGCTATGTAACAAAGAAAAGAGATATTTTATTAAGTTAAATAACTGCAACCTACAGGTTAGTCTYCTGCACAGCCGCTGTTAGTGTTGTCACGCATCGCTCACTCATAGCAGCTGCGTGGGAGACTAACTACATGTTGGCTTGTATAAAAGGTAGTATTTTTTTCTCACCTGCAACATCTGTCTCAACTCAGTATCTTCAAAAAATACTTCAACAAGATCAAGTCTCTCCTCTATTCAAACAAATATTTCATCAGAGCTTGAAATTTTCACAACAAACTCACTTGAGTATGGATATGATGCATTTACATCTTCAGCCCAGTTTTTTCACTCTCTAAAGTACCAAATTTTCTTGCTTAACAGTTGCCCATGAGAAGACACATAAATATTGGTACAACTCAAACAAACAATCATATTCTCAAGAGAATACATGGAATGAAAAGGGTAAATATCATGTCCAAGCAAAAATTGACTATTAAAAATGCAATTTTGCATCCCACATTATCTGGCAAATACATGAATTAGATTTTTATTTTTAATATGCTTACCAATTTTACTCTTGTCCATCAGTGGTTGTTTCATCCATTGTGCCARTAGGCGCTGTCCTTGAGGAGTCTTACACTTGTTTAGGAGTCCAAGAAGACACATTGACTTGTTTCCACCTATAATGATAAATGATGTACATAGTATACCAACTTGCATGAATGCAACCTGGGAAAAACCTTCCCTCATCTGCATTGAGCAAATAACCCTTACACCTCACTACCTGCCATGTGGGTGGCAACCCAGTGGTCTCTGGACATGTACCCTTCACGGCCTTACTCCAAAGTATGAGTTCTATTTTTATTGACCCAAGCAGCATAACAAACTACAATACAATACAATACAATAAACTTTATTTAAGGAGGGTGACACAATTAACCCAGAGAGTTATCTAACATGTGGCCCTCAAACTATTATTTGAGAAACACAGAGAGCAAACTAGCAACCCTAAAATGCTAAACAAATGTGTATAAGGCTTTCCTACTGTTTAATAAGTTATATTTATCTAATTGTATTGGTAATTTCTTTAAGGTGGCTCCGCTGGGTTTCAATTTCGCTGGGGTTCAAATTTTTTGTACCTTGAGCAAATTACTTATCCTCCAATATCTCAAAAGCAATTTAAAAACCTAGGTMAAAAAATGGAGAAAATAGGCAATGAAGTAAACGCACCAATGCTTAACAGCGATCTTACATTAATTCTGATTTCAGTAAAAACATGCTCATTCGAAAATTTCATCTTTCCTTTGAAACCTCTTWWAAAAAAAGCATTGCATTGTTTGCGTCCGAGTATTTRCGGTTTGAAGTTGCATGGTATCGCGTGGATAAAATCCAGTGGAGCCACCTTAAGTAGTGAATGGACTTCAACACCAGGCGAATGAACAATTATTACAGGCAAGTAAACCACGACTCCCAGTGATTTGTGTTCTGGAGACCGCTCTCTGGTGATTTCTGTAATTTCTGTCACTCCCTTCCTAGGCCCCTCCCTGGATGTATTCCTCCCCTCCTAGGAAGTACTCTATCCCCTCCCTGGATGTGTCCCACCCCTTTTAGGAAGTACTCTATCCTCTCCCCAGGGTTGCCAATAAAATTTTTGGTAGGCGGTTATGAAATTGAAATAGGCGGTAAACTGGAAATGGAGCATGAAATCGAGGCATACTTGTCACCAGTCTCACTCTTCTCACAAAAATTCAAGATGRCGAACAACGATGTTGTATTTTCGATTGCCTTGCAGTTTTCATAGTACAGCAACAAAGACTGGGTTAAAATTTATTTTAACGAACTTTAAAGAACTTTAATCAAAATTTACRATTACACTGGGAAGTGGCTGAGTAGGTGGCCAAATTAGCAAGAGTAGACGGCGGAATCTGCCGGTTGCCGGCTTCTATTGAAAACACTGCCTCCCTGGATGTATTCCTCCCCTCCTAGGATTTAAACTCTCCTCCCTGGATGTCTTCTGTCTCTTCCCTGGATGTATTCCTCCCCTTCTAGGATTTAAACTATCCTCCCTGGATGTCCTCTATCTCCTCCTTGGATGTGTCCATCCCCTCCTAGGATTTAAACTCTCTCCTCTCTGGGTGTCCCCTGTCCCTTCCCTGGATGTGTCCATCCCAATTCTCTTACCATCAAGAACATTTGGTAGAAGGTTTAGAGCTCTCACAGCTGCAGCATCCAGCTTCATAAACTGACTTAAATCAAATGACTCCAGATGAAACTGTCCAAAGTTAGAATCATCTGATAGGAGCTATAGAGACAACAGATAATAAAATATATCCAAATTAGTTTTAATATTCACAGCATATTCTAAATAAACAGACAACAAATAGGCATTCACTTGGTTGCCTGTAAGTGTCATTTCCATACTCATACTCATAGATCTAGTGAACTTCACAATCTGCACTAAAATAAGTTGAAGTTGGTAAACATGAGAAAACATGTCAAACCAAAAGTTGAAATGTTAAAAAAGCGCTCAATTCATCTTAATATATTTTGTTCAAACCACTCTGGAACATGAACTTTTACTTTTCCGAACCTATACAACCTAAACCAATGTGATACCTGTGTCCTGGCAGGTAGGTGGTCTTTGCCCACTCTTGCATGAGCTTATTTACTTGCTTGTTCAAGAAATGAAAAGCAATAATGTTGTTTGCATGAGGATTCATTAAGGTAGCTTTCCTCCTTCCACAAAAATCAACCCCTAAATTCCAATTGAAATCCAGTGGAAGAAGAGTCACTTTGTGGAATCCACTGTTAATCCCATTATTATTATTATCAATCATAATTATGTAATATTATGTAAAACTCAAGGCAAATAAGAGCAAATTTCACGAATGAATTAAAAACTTTAGAGGAGTAACTTTTGTGTTTCAACAAGAAGAGTGTTAGGACTCATCAATGAAACCAGCAAACTACCCTATTTGTTTAAGAAATGTTTGCTTGTTTGCCAAAATCTTGAGTAAAAGAAAAACAAAAGTTTTATCTCCAGATTGCTGGTAACCCAGTAAGTAACAAACAAATTGTAAATGTGATTAATGTTTGGAGAACAAAAATATTCYAAAGGGATACAAAAGTTTTAGTTTTCAATAGACCCCTTGCACTAAATCTCTACCTGGGGCTCAAAACAATTGAACATATTAATCATGAAACATTTYAATCCTCAAGAGTAGGGAATTCTTTTATTTTGACCCCCAGATTGAGCTGCTTTCTACCAATTCTGCTTGGGGRAAAAGATGGAATACCCAAGAGACCCCTTTACATAGAATGTACATACCATTCCTTTATAGACCAGATTGACTGACAAAAATTACTTGAGAAAAAAAATAACTTATTTAAATTCACACCTCAAGGTACTTAACAAGAGATGCCATAGCTGCAGTTGCATGTACCATATCCATTTCAGCTGTTAAGATAGATGAACATTGATGAGACCATTGCCAACTATTTCAAAATACAGACATTACACTTACTATTACTTTCTTGGTGGTCATTTGTAATTAACTTTCTTTTTCAATATCTTCCAATATACATATATCATATTCTGAATACTGTAAATCCTCTATTTAGCCCCCCTCTCAAATAAGCCCCCTTCTCTAATAAGCCCCCCCCTTTTTAAAGGAAGAAATTTGTTAAGCCCCCCCCTCTATTTTTAGGCCTCCTCCCCTCCCCCTTCACAACTAAAGAATCACGTGTACTGATTAAAGATGATTTATTAAAGTCTTGATACGGTAGTTCACTTAGATAATCACAACAGTTTGTTCATCATTTTCGGTTGCATGACCTCTAACTTCATATGCTTAAGTTTTTCTACTCTGTGATCTAGTTTATTGTGAAGA